GTACAAATACGCCATGATATAAATGCCGAAGATTAAACGTGTTGCAAATGAGTAACACCTAACACAAAAAAAGAAAGACAGATAAGGACGATAGATGTTTGATAGGAAAGAAGGAGCAAACCACACCAACCTACCATCTAAGGCGAAAGAAAAGGACGATAACATGTTTAATGAACAAAGAAGCAGCAAACCACACCAGAATACCCGCCTACCACCCACGAGGAAAGATAAGGACGATAGACCGATGTTTAATGGGAAAGAAGGAGTAAACCACACCAGAGCACCCACCTTCCACCCACAAAGGGGGATAAGAGCGATAGATATTATGTAATAGGAAAGAAGGAGCAAACCACACCAGAGCACCCACCTTTCACCCACGAAGGGGGATAAGAACGTTAGATGATATGCAATAGGAAAGAAGGAGCAATTAATCACACGCTAGATCAATCGCCAACCTCCCATGGGAACTCTCAAGAAAAGGAAGAGTCCACAAACAGAAGCGAAGACCTTATGACGACTATGTGTAGGCGTGACACAACATGGGGAAACGAGGACAAACGGAGGTCGAAACGGACACACTGACCGCGTGAGACCAGACGGCAATCCCCCACGTCTCGTGTCCGGTCGGTCAGTCAGCTGGTCAGTTACGTGGGTGGACAGGACGTCTTCTACTGCTGGTGGTGGACAGGTTAGGTCAGGTGGACAAGGAAGGGGAGAGGGGACATGGGAGGGGGTTTTCCTGGCCGAGGCGTCGCGCCCGCTAATGTTTGACATGTAGCGATGGTGACAAGTGAACAGTGTTTTTTCTCACAGCATTGGGTGGCCAATCTTTTACTTCACTTTTTTTTTTAACTTCATCTCGTATCCTGAGGACATCGAGGGCCGAGAGGTGCGGGGGTTTCTGTCTTGTGCTAAGCGTGAGGCTTCTGTGATTGACATAGTCTGTTGTTCCAGGACCTTTTTTACCCCATCCACCAACCAGGTCTTTCTTTGGGTGGTGCAATAGGGAAAATGAGTATTTTTTACATTTTAACCTTCTTTTTTTTAACACCCCATCAACACAACCTTGTCCCTTCATGGTTTGTCTTGTAAATGTGCGCGCGCTGTGTGTGTGCGCGCGCGCGCGCGTGTGTGTGTGTGTGTGTGTGTGTGTGTGTGTGTGTGTGCGTAATGTGGGTGTGCTATAGATATGTACATATTATGTTGATATTTATATATTATTTTTAGTTATTATGTCTTTACCGTTCATATTCAAACTGATTTTGAGTTCACTCTTCTGCCATAAGAATATCTCGCCAAGACATAGAGTTGTAACTTACAACTGTTACAACAGACAGTGAGACAGCGGTCGACTCGGGAGGGGGATACCGATTAAGCACATGACAGAGGTCTGGGGAGAACATATTATTATGAAGTGAAGCATAACATGAAAGAGGTAGTGGAAGAACATACTGTGAATGCAGTGCATGAAAGAGGTAGTGGAAGAACAAAATTATTATGGTTTTTGGGGGGTTTTAGTAGAGGTTTTACGGCGCTCGCAACTGCATAAGGCCATATGAGCGCCAGAAGATTAGAGGTGTTACAAGAGAGTAACAAAAATAAAAAAGAAGGAGGGGAGATAAGGACGATAGATGTTTGATAGGAAAGAAGAAGCAAACCACACCAGAGCACCCGCCAACCACCCACATAATTATTATGATTAAAGTGCATGAAAGAGGTAGCGAAAGAACATATGAATGAAGTACCTAAAAAAAGGTATAGCGCGGTCGAAAATTTGTGGCACAACTTAACCTCAAATCTCTTGAACGGGTGAGCCAATGCTATTCATATTTTGCATAGCAGTTAGTATACATTTTTCTTAACTTATTCATCTTCTTCCACAGAAATCGAGGCTGGATAAAAAAACGTTTCTTCATAAATGTATATAGATCTAGAATACTACAAATCTCCTTCACGCGGAAAATGGGATTGTTCAAAGCACTTCCCGCCTCTCACACACATTTTGCGTGCGCATATGGCCTACGTCACAGCTCACCCCAATGACACTTTTTAGTGGCAAAACTTGTTACAATAAATCGATTCTAGTACAGTGAACACTTTTTTGCACTAAAGACTAAAGGTTCTCAAAACATGCGTTCAATAAACATTCCCTTGCAATTAGAAAAAAATGGCAGACTTGCTTTTAAAAGCGATATAATTATTGTCCCAGCTGTAAAAATTTTAAAATCTGTAGAAAACACCCACTGAGATTTTTTAAATTAGTATTCATTAAGGAGTTTTCTAGAATTGAGCGGAGGTGTTTACAAAAAAATATTGGTCTGTTAAGACAGATTGATACAAGTCACTGCGCAAAAGCTGGAGAGTTCATGTTCGATAGTTGAGAGGAGATATTTGACAATACGTTGCGCCACGAACTTTTGACCGCACTATAGGGAGGAACAGAGGACTAAGTACGTGTTAGAGGTCGGGAAAGAACATTTAAAGTGAAGAACAAAAAAAGGTAGGGAGGAACAGATGAAGTATCATGTGGGGGAGAACATATGAAGTGAAGTACATGAAAAGGTAGGGGAGGAACAGAAGATGAGGTTAAGAGGTAAGTAAGGGATGAACATATGAATTTGTTGGTTCTAATAAGTGTTTTAATGCACTTGCAACACAATAAGGTCATATAAGTGCCGAAGATTAGAGGTGCTACAAGAGAGTAACAAACACAAAAAAGAAGGAGGGGAGATAATGACGATAGATGTTTGATTGGAAAGAAGAAGCAAACCACACCAGAGCACCCGCCAACCACCCACGAACATATGAATGAAGTCCACGAAAGAGGTAGGGGGTGGGG